CCAGAACTTGAGTGACTGGGGCTAATTCTCTTGCATTTGCAGATTTTATTCCCTGACAGCTTTCTACTATGAACTATTTCATATTTTTCTTTCTGGGTAGGATTTCTTGACTTGCTTTCAGAATTTCCTATCAGTCTCAGTGCTTTTAAAATGCATTTTTCTCAATAATTACCCTTAGACTTTTAAATCTGATGCCTCCATTGTAAGTGCAATCTCCTTTCTTCTTTCCACTTGGAGCAGTTCTAGGGAGCTGATGGGTCTTTATGATCAGAGCAGTGTGTTAGCAGTAGACATGATCATAGCGGATGCAAGAAAGTGCTAGCATTTTATTTTACATGATTTTGTCTTGTTTTTATTTTATTTGTTTGTTTGTTTTAAATGGCAGTACTGAGCAAAAATAACTTCTATTACCTGTTTTCTGCTGTTCCCTCTCTGTTTGTGGCACTGCAGCCATGCTGTGGCTTATACTGCTTTGGCAGCTGCAGCCCAACACTGTAGGAGTCACAGTCTGGGTGTGTATCTTATGAATGTTGGAAGAGGCCAACAGCATCAGCTTGGGCTATAAATGCTTGTCTTATAATCAACTAATATCAGCTGAAAAGAATCCTATACTTCAGCTTTTGTGCCAGCACTTACGTAAGTGTTGAAATTTAAGTTTCTATTCTTTATTCAGGCATAAGGAATCAAGTAGTGATAATAAGAGAGCATCTCTTCTGAGGCAGTTTTGCACAGATATCCCCATAAATTCAATGATGGGAGGTACTTCTGTGTATGGCGCAGATCTGCAGTTCAAATCTGACTCTGGATGCACATAAGCCACTGTTTCTCATAAGCCATCCGTGTGAGAATTGTTGGCCAGCTTCAGTAAAATTTGAATCCTTTGCTACTATGCAGGAATGAGTAATACTGTCATTTATTTTCTTATGTTTGTTCTCAGAGCTGAGAATATGAGAGAAAACATCATCTGCTTGTGTGTTCAGGTACTTACTTTTCATCTGGATATAAAACCATTTGACACATCAGAGAGGTAAAATTGGATGTGATTATGATCTAACAGAAGATTGTATCTTCAGATGAAGACTAAGCCTTGACAACAGATAAACTCAAAATGCTTGTATTCATGCAAAGATCAATAACAATGAAATGAAGGCTGGAAAAAGGCAAAATCAAACTCCAATCAAAATGTTGGTTAAAAATGAAGAGGCATTGATTAAAATATGAATGTTTCTAATGTTTTATTTCTATTTGAAGAATATTCACGAATTCAAAAGAAACACAGAACAGATGCTGTACTAGGTCCTTAAGTGTATCCTAAATGCTGTAGCTCCATTTGAGTGTGGCTTCCAGTTCTATTGGTAATTTATTGTGTGAATATGGGCATATAGTGAATACTGTGTGCCTGTTACATAACCCAGAGCCTTCACTGTGTCTTCCTATAGCCTACATTTAGCAAAGATGCAAGTGTTTGTGGGAAATAGGATTTCTGATGTCTCCCAGATTTACAACTTCCTGGGACTTCATTGATTTATTTTGCAATGTCCCGCTTTTATTTAAGGTGTAGCAAAATACGTACCATTATATTACATAAACGTGGCAGAATGAAATAAATATAGTAATATAATAGAATGAAAAAGAATAAACATTAGAGCAAACAGATAATGTGTTTGTTTTGAATCTTTAAATTTTTTAATGTTTTGAAAAATATATTTGTTAATATTACTTGAAACAATATCTTTATTTCAAGCAAAGACACTATATTCCCAGAGAAATAAGAATAATAAATTATTCTTTATATTTTGATATTTTTATTTTTATTCGAAGGAACTGAACAGGAATCTGTTGTTTAGTTTAGTTGAAGCAAACAGGCTTGTTGTGTAACACTAACAGTAGTGTCTGGACTTTCAGCTGCTTTAGCTGCTTTGTGCTACTCAGGTAGTTGATAATCCTCATTCTTTCAGAGTCTCCAGTTGCTTACTTGCAGTCAATCAGTTTGTCATAATTAAAAGGGTGGGTATCTATCATGCATGGGCTATAAATAATTGCTCTTTGTACTTCTCACCCTTAAGGCAGGGATTTCAGTTCAGTGAGAAGGAAAAGTTGTTGGAAAGAATAGTGGTCCAATAAAGTACGCTGCTAGAAAACCTAGGCAAGATAAAAGTGAATTTATGTTTTCATGTGCAGTACATCTTTCTGGTCTGCCTAGACAGAAGTTTGATTTAGTCTGCGTGCAGGTTTTTTTTGCTGTCAGAGTTATGTTGTTAATTAATTTGAACAGGTATAGTTCCTTATTGACATACTTGGTCTATTATAAACTGCACTATAAGCTCAGTTGCTTTTGAAGACTTATTTTTAGAGTGTAGCTCACTGAACTCATGAGGTAGGTGAGCCATGGAAGTGCAATCACTGCTTTGCCACTGTTGACATTTGCACTTTCATTCAATATTCTTAAATACCTGCTGTCTTCTCTCCACAGAAAAACTATACAGTAAAATTGAGTTTGACAAAATCAATATGAACTGATAATCTTTAAAAGAAGGCTGTAATTTCTGAAAGGAAAATATCAAGAATCATGGCATTTGAGCCTTTAGTTTAAATGCACTGTGTGTGCATGCCTGGAAATAATCTAAAATGATCAAAATGATCCGGGAACACATTGTAATTGTTCACTCTCAGAAAAATAGTGATGAGGAACTTGGGAAGGTCTTGGTAGCATCTGTGGAAGGCTGCAGTAGGTTTGGTGAACGTTTTTGTATAGCTCGATAACAGCTAGTAGATACTGCAGTCCACACATAGGATGAGATACCTAATTCAGTACAGACAGTAACTTTGGAGGAGCACCTTGAAAACTGAAAAGCTGCAATTAGAGAAACTGCCTTAGCATTAAAGATTCAGCAAGATGACCTACTTAGAAGAATCATCATGTACCTAAACGCAGGCTACAGTTTTCAGCCATAAATATTACATGATTTTTTTTTTTTTTTTTTTTTTTTTTTTGCTAAGGCTGCATTTCTTTTCCAGAAAATGTTTCATTTTGCGTTGAAGAGCTGAATAATGACATCACATCTGATTTCTTTGAGAAACATTCAGAGTAGTTAATTTAGAGGAAGGAACCAAAAACAAATAATAGGTGAATATCTGTAATCGTTATAAAAACAATCAAGCAAGCAGATCTAGTGACATGTCTTTTGGCTTCTTTTCCCTGCATATTTTGTGATTTTCAGTTTGGTTTTCTTTTATCAAAAGTGCATCATGTCCTTAGTTAATACAGTGAAGTCTATAATTCTTTCATAGAATCATAGAATCATAGAATCACAAGGTTGGAAAGGATCTACAAGATCATCTAGTCCAACCATCCTCCCATCACCACTGCTACCACAAGCACTAAGCCATATCTCGCAGCTCCTCATCCAGGCACCTCCTGAACACTGCCAGGGATGGCGACTCCACCACCTCCCTGGGCAGCCGTTCCAGTGCCTGACCACTCTCGGAGAGAAAAAGCTTTTCCTTATATCTAAAAAGTTTTTCCTTATGTCTAAAATCTTTCTATCTCTATCTTTTCTATCTGCCTTTCTATCCCTCAAAGCAGTATTAGTTTGAAAACTGATTCCTGGAATATACTTCTGGAAGGCATTTGCAATGGAATGAATAAATGTCAGCTTCTGAGCTCCTGTGAACCTCAGAGGACAGATCCACAATACCTTAGGAGTAGAATTTCCTTCAGAAATTTGCAGCCATTTATTCTTACTCCTGTTTTACATCCCACTGTGTTCTCAGTATTGCAACTTTAGTTTTTTGTGAAGTTGGAAAAATGGATCATTAAAATCATCATGGTTAAAAATAACCTCTTCCCCAAGCTGGAAGCAGGCAGTGTTTACAGTGATAGAGAAATTAAAGCCTGTTTTCTCCCAGAGGTGGTGTTTCTGCAACCCTGACACAACTCCCAGTTTCATCCCTGCCCTTTCAGAAACATGAGTAATGGTGCAGTTCTGTAATCAATTTCAGCTGTTTTATGTTCTAACTATGGACTATTGCCAATGAAAGAGCCTGCTTGTCTTCCTTACTTCTGCTTGCACTCAGCCACCACTGCTTTTTACTAACCATAGTGATTGTGCAAACACCCCTAGTGTTTGCAGGATGTGATGAGCCAAATTACCTTGCTGATATACCTAAATATTGCCCAGAAGAAAAAGAAAAGAAAAAAAAAAAAAAAAGGAAATGGTTATGTCCCGTGGAGCATGGTGCTTGGTATGAAGCTGCAGGCTCACAAATGCTGACACACAGAAAGAGGTGGAACACTGTAGCAGGATGACTGGAAAGGAGAGTAGGTTGAAACATTCTGGTGCTTTCACACAAATCAATCAGCATGAGATCATGCTTGGACTAACACTCCGGTGTATATCAGCTGAGGATACGTAATTGATCCATCCTGCCCGTCGCTATGGGCAAGTAAAAGAGGGATGCTCTCTGTCTGATTTTGGGACTGGAAGTTGCCAAAGTGTGGAACAGTTGCCATTTCAACCCACTCATCTCCTTGCACTGATTGTAGCATGAGGCTGTGCCAAAATCATTAAGCTTTGCTCTGTGTGAATGCATTGACCAAGTTCAGTCAACTGGTACAGAGCTCCTTAGTAGTTTTATTCATTTGGGGGATGGAAGTATTACTGAAACTGGAAAATCTTTAAGAATAAAAGCAGATATTTGTAGCCTTTTACTGCACAGCAGTTTAAATGGGAAAGGGCAGTGGAAACAGAGCCATTGTGAAGTATAGCTTGCGGAACAGCTTGTTTTCTTTCAGAACAAAATCCAGCATCTACTGAAAAACTCAGTTTTCATTCTGAAAACTTGTAGATACTTGATTTTACTGTAGAATATTTTCCTTGTAACATGAAATATTATAGCTGAAGTCCTCAACTGCAGTGTCCAGTGTTGATACTTTACTACATAATGTGTGGAGGCAAATAAGAGATAAACTTTTGGTTTTTTTCTCTCATATTTTGCAGGTTCTTGGCCTCTTCCTGCTGGTGTCCAACACACAATAGATTTTCCAAATAGTGTTCAGCAGTTGACTGCAGTAGAACAGATACAAGATGGAGGAATCATACAAAGACAGGACTTCATTAGTGAAAGGCGCAAAAGATATTGCCAAAGAGGTAAAGAGACAAGCTGTGAAAAAAGTGAATAAAGCTGTTGACAAAGCTCAGGATGGCTACACACAGAGGTCCTACAGTCGATTCCAGGACGAGGAAGATGATGATGATTACTATGTCCAAGGAGGAAATTATGGTGTGGAAGCTAATGATGATGAAGGATCAAGTGAAGCAACTGAAGGGCACGATGAAGATGATGAAATTTATGAAGGGGAGTATCAGGGAATCCCCAACATGGGGCAGGGCAAAGATGGCATGGTGGCCTTAGGGCAACCTGTGCGTGATGAGTATAAAGATCGTCATGAACTGGAAACAGAAAGGAAAGCTGATGAAGAAGAATTAGCACAGCAGTACGAACTGATAATACAAGAATGTGGCCATGGTCGATTCCAGTGGGCCCTGTTTTTTGTTTTGGGAATGGCTCTAATGGCTGATGGAGTGGAAGTTTTTGTGGTTGGATTTGTGTTGCCCAGTGCTGAGACAGATATGTGTATACCCAATTCTGGATCAGGATGGCTTGGTGAGTGAAGTCTTCTTTCTGTCTTTTTGCTGATACAGATTTCACTTACATTACGCCTAACTATGAATTTTGTTAACACCATTGCTAGCATACAAGTATTTTTGTATTGAATATAGAGAAGCAAACCACACTAAGTGCTAATACAAATTTAATGAAATCTGTAATTATGTTTTAAATAGTTGTTTTATTTTCAATCTCTTAAGTGTAAATACCTCAGTAAGGTGGAAGATTGCATAGTAAAATTTAAAACAAGAGATATTCTTTTTCTTGTTTACAGGAGTAGGTATCCAGATATTAAAAGGAAATAAAGAAATAAGGAGTGAATTTTTGAAACTCTTCAAGATTTACACAGATGTTATAAAGAATAAATTACATATTACACACAGCTGTCCAGCAGCAGTTATCATGCTGAGTGAGAGCATTCCCAAGGGAATTTCCCAATGCGGGAAATCCAGAAAAGTACTATCTAGCTTTTTTTTCTCACTTTTATCTTTTTTTCTCTCACTAACTATTCTCTAGCCATCTGAAAATTACAATATTTACTTTGAGTCAGGGGGAGAGAAGCCACAGGAGAGGATGGCTAAAGATGCTCAGGAGTTATGTTTTCTGTATCTGGTTGCTTGGTAGGGAAGAGCTATATTTTGTCCCATTGACTCTTCCCCCTGATGGTGCAAAGAGGCAACTGAAGCAGCCTTTTGTGCCTAGGTGAGAGTGCTGCAAGCCAGTCTGTGCTTGTGCTGGGTATGCCTGACATTCTGATACTAGTAGTCTGGCACTGTTTCAGTAAATTTAAAATCCTTCTGTATCAGAAGGTAATGAGTGGAAAGAGGATCTGAGTTCTCACTGGGAGCTTTGAGAAATTCCTTTCCATTTGATGATTTACTGTTAGAAATGAACTGCTCCAGCTATCTGTACAGTGCAGTGATTTCTACTAAAATAAATTAATTTATCTAAATTTTTATGGCTAAAGAGGATGCATGCAAGTAATCTGCTTGGTACTGCTTGTTTACACAAACTTACATTTTTTTGGTCATTTAATTTGTCATGCTTGAATCTGTGTGTTTTCAGATCTACTTTTTATAGAAAGAATGTGTATAAACATATCTATATATAGCCATTTTGGATCTTTCCAAGTAGTTCAAAGAGTAGGAAGAATGAAGAGAAACAAAAACAACCTGAAGAGGAATGTTACTTTAATTTTTACTTTGCTAGTGTAGATAATACCACAGAATACATAACATGGAGAAAAATATATTTTCAAAAAACAGTGTTTTGTTTAAACAACTGTTGTGAGCACTGTGGAGGTGTCTGTGATTGAGAGCAGGAGGTGCTGTCCCCACAGTTGTAGTTGTCTGTGACAATTCATGTCCGTCTGTTACGATATGACCCATGTCAGGATAAGGGCTAAGGGTTCCTCAGTCACTGGACTTTTTATGATGTTGTCTTGAGATATATTGGAATGACTCCATCAATTATTAAATACAGCTCAGTACAGAAGCTATTACATCCCTCATATTATGTATGTATGGACAAAACTATCGCTTGAAAATTAAATTAAGTGAAGGCTTAGTTGTGCAAGCAATATATTATGATGTCTAAAATATAGGATCTGTGATGGCTGTTCCCATATCTTCCTTTTGTAATAGCAGAACAGTAGCCTTAACAAACAAATAATCCTATGTTAAAAGATTAAGGTGCTAAAAACAAAAATAAACAAAAATAACACTGGAACTAATTAGTCTTTTTTTTTCTTTTTCTTTTTTTTTTTTTCCTTCCCTGCAGTGCAGTGTGGAATTGTAATGTGGTTGTTTAATCAATAGTTGCAGAAAAATGATATTACTTGCCCACTGCTAATAGAAATACACTGCAGGTTGGAATCCTTCTCTACAGTGATGACTGTAATGCTTATAGCGGATATGCAGCCTTTGCAGACAGCATAATCATAATTCCAGTAATACAAAATATTCATCAGGACCATGAATGATATGATCATAACTAGATCCTCACAGCTATCCATTTCAATTACTCCACTGCTGTGATTTCACATCATAATTATGTCCTGACTGGGGTCTTCTAGACATGCATGGCTTTTTTCCATGGTTTTAAGTCCATAATCTAGAGGACTTTGATATTAGAATACTAAAGTCATGAGACCAATGCTAGGAGTTATGAAGAGGAATTCTTACACATACATAACATTTATTTCTAAGGCATTTTGCTGGACTATTTAGAAATAATCTGAGAACACCCTAATTTGTCATTGAAAAAGCACTCATTCACTCAACTAATTGTAAAACCCAATTTCTCATACCTCAGCCATACTTCATGTCATGATGGTTTATTAGAAGACATGAGCTGATTAAAAGTATTTGGCAATATCCATAAAATTACTCTGTCACATTTTTTTGTTTTACTTGCACCAGGATAAATTCCTAAATTCCCAAATTCCCTCTGTATTCACTCCTGTGTGACCTTCTGCTTTGATTAATCATCAGCAGTATTTCAGAGCCCATAAACTTATTAGGAGGAAGTTTTTATTAGAATTAAGAACTGGTTTCTTGATGCCTTTGGGGTTGAATAAAAACAACATGTATCTTTTTTCCTCTCTGCATTGATGTTTCCTTCAAAACAAGGAAGCTGATGTGATTAAACTATTGCAAGGTTAAAGTAACTTGTCACCAACCGTGCAGGTCTGCTTACCGCATGTTCACAACTGTTTTGTACTGTGAGGCCCAGAACTGAGCACAGCACTCCGGATGTGGCCTTGTAAAGTGTGATTAGAGGGGAGAGATCTTCTCTCTTAATCTAGTGGCAATACTTTGCCAAGAGTACCGTTAGCCTTCTTTATGGTGACGGCACATTGCTGACTCATGTTCAAGCTGGCAACCAACAGGACTCCCAGGTCTCTTTCTGTAGAGCTCTTTTTCAGCTGGGTAGACCTCACGTGTGCTGATGCCTGAGACTGTTCCTTCCTCCCCAAGTGCAGAACTCTTCACTGCTTGTTGAACTCAATAAGTTTCCTGTGAGCCAACCTGTCCAGGCTGTTGAGGTCCCTCTGGATGGCTGCATGGCCCTCTAGCAAGTCAGCCACTCCTCCCAGTTTCACTTCCTCCCAGTTAGTTGCAAGTTTAATCAGGATGTACTCTACTATTGTCTAGATCATTAATGAAGATTTTAAACAGGACTGGATACTCTGATCTAATCCTCTTAACCAAGGTGGAAGCCTTTCACACAAAAAATCAATATGAAAGTCACCGGATTAAGCAATTATTTTCCTTAAACTTTTCTTCTTTTTGCATTCCTGCTCAGAAAACCTGACAGCAGGTAAGCCATTTGTATTATAACTACTATCTTTTTCAGAGGCCAGTATCTTAAAAGGAATATTGAACTCATGAGTTGTATATGGAGTTGCTGGTTCATACAAAGAATAGGGCCTAAATATCTTTAAGCAAGATCACACAGCTTGAGCCATTTATTCTCTTCCTGAACCTGTATGCATTTCCCATGGCTTTGGCAGAAATCTGGAAATGCACAGTTACATTGTATATTGAACAAAGGACTGAAGGAACTGGGTCCAGACTTTTTGAAAATATTAATGCATCTACTTGTCTGATGGGATTCTCCAAATTGTCTAGATGCCTAACTAAATCATGCCTAACTAAATCCACAGATCCCTTGCACATATTCTTAGAAACTTAAGCACATGTACAAATCTGAAATTCTACTGTTATTCTCAGATTATGTTTCCCCTGGGTATCCTTCATGTAGTTCACTGAAAAAAATTTCTTTCTGGAGCAGCTTCTCCAGTTGTGGAGATTCAGATTAAGATGATTTCCAGCAGATTTCTATGTTTTCTCTAATATTATGGAGAACATGTTAAAATTCATGACTCTTCTGAGAAAAAAAAAAAAAGAAAAAGAAAAAATTAGGCTTCATTTTAAATGTGAAGTGTTGGCCATGGTATAATTTTTTGTGAATGTTTCAGGGATGTCAAAATGTTAAGTACTTATTTGTGGTTCTGAAAGTTACTGTATTCACAAGGAAGGCATGTAGGCTAAGAGCAGTTACTATAACCATTGCAGACCTTAGAGTGTGGGGAATCTTGCTGAAATAATGGTTACTTGCATTTATTGTTAATAGTAGTAATAAATCTTTTGTAGCAATATTTGAAAATAGACATGCAATAATTTAAATGTGTACTAAATATTGCAGAACAGGGTGAAGACTGATTTGTAGGATTAATGCTTATTTCATCAGAAGATGTGAGAAATACAAATGCCATCATGCATGCTTTTCACCTCACTGTACAGCTCTCTTACAGTGACATTAATAAGGTACACCTGTGACTGTGCTTTTTCTGTGTACCTTCTAACCATAATTGTTTGAGGGAAAAAAGGTAAGAGACATATCCTCCTCTGTTCTAACCAGCTATACTGTTTGGAGCAGTGGAGGTGATGGTTGTGTTTCTTTTTCTTTTCTGAAGGAAAAAAAAAACAACAGAGTGGAGGGTATGTGATGTGATTTTTGCCTGCTAAGAGGCAGACTGAACACATCTCAGGGAATGTTATGGGCTGGTAACAAGATGGAATATGGAAGCATGAATTCAAAACATTAACAAAACTCAGTGTGTTCTCCCAGCAGAGAGGCTACAGATTTCTATAATTCAAGGTGGTTTACAGCTGCCCTCGTTTTCAGAGTGTGATTTTCTCACTGCCAAACCACTGTGCTATTAGGAAGAACAACACCACCAAGTCAGCTGTTTATTCTTTCACATGGTTCCTTTTAAGAGGTTCACTGTTAACCCCACACTGCGGGGTTAAATATAGTATTTCTTTGGCTCCATACCCCACTCAGTCATGCAGATTCAACCTGAGTAACAAATATAATAAAAAACATTCACAGTGGCTGCACTGCAGAGCCACTTGCTGTTTTATCCGACTTATTTTTTGAGAACTCTGTAAGTAGCATTATCTTTTTTTCTTCTTTCTTCCTTTTTTTTT